TTGCACCTCAGGAATCAGGAATGCAGTAAAGAATTAATTAAAACTCAAGATTTATCTCATGTTGAGTTCGATAATATATCGTTATCGTTGAAAATTACATCATATACATACTTACACATGCACTTGTCTCGGATGTGAAACAAAATAGATCTATTTAACCATATACCTAAATTAAGGGGACCTTTACTTTAGGTCTCTGATTTAACTTTCCCGCTCTGAAACTTAATGCAGTGTCGCGCTCTTAGCAAGCTGTGGTTGCTATACAAACAATGCTGACGTCACTATAGAGAACAGAGTTAGTCGAATGGTTTCGTAGTTTCGTACTTTCTCATGCTGGTCGGTTAGTGATCAGCGTTGTTTTCTAGTGTGCTTTTTAAACGTTCTTTGTAGGCGGGGTACGTGAGCAATGTCATCACACCCTTGCGTTATGAGCAACAATTCTCTAGAGTTTTACATGAATCCATACATAGTTATGAACTGTCTGTAGATCATGATGCTACATGACCTTGACATCAGAGATGAAACCTTGTGACAAAGTAATGACAAGCCCTTGGACTAGAGGCAACACTTCTATAGAGTGCAATAAATCGAGACCAGGGGTTACAAAGTTGTAAGCCGGGCACGATATGCAGACAGACAGAAAGACAAATTCAGCCACAAAAGTTTTAGTTTCAACGAAAAAATCAAGCTGTGAACTTTAAAATTATAATTTAGTATACTATGAGCTGACCATCAAAGGATTGTTAATCCTGTACGCATTTCATGTATATTGTCAGAATAAATCTGTGTATCTGTGTATTAAGACAGTTATGTCATTAGCATGAGCACGCCTCTGTCGATGTTAAAACAAGAAAATACAAATTAAACTGAGTCCACAACCAACCGAAATTGTAGATACAGGAAAACACTTACCAAATTTAGTCATAAAACAGTCAGCAGTCTTAGATTAGAAATATTTTAAAGGAAATCTTGCCAATTGAACGGTTAAGAAATAGATAAAGGACATTGCACAAAGACATAAGCTCAATTGTCATTTGGCTAGGTGTAATAAAACATCAAAATTATTATGCAGGATTTCAACCTGTTTTTAGGGATATAAAATACTGTCAAAATATTCCCATTGACACTAATTGGCACCGTATGGCCCAGTTTTCATTTTCTACCTATTATTTCGTTAACTTATTGTTTCTAAAAAATTCAGTTTAAGTGGTAAAATGTTCAACATTTATTGAAAAGCATTCATGTTTCGTGTGACACTGACAGTTTTCAACAGTCCAGTAGTTTTCAATGACCATGGCTTTAATGTGGGTTGATGTTCAGTTTGATATCAGCATATTTCCTCGGCTCCAATCTAATTCAAATTAGATCTTAGCATCGTTTAAGTGGGAGCGATCCGAAGATCTAATTTAAATTAGATTGACTCGGATTAGTTCATCTGCAAAATCCAAGGATTTATGTTTTCTGTATATAGTTGGAATATATATCAAAGCGACATCGAACGCTCTGTAAGCGGTTCCTTGCGGTAACTACACTAATATTATGCCTTTGATTGAAGAATTAAGAAATCGCTCGTCAGCGTAACGGTAAAGTCGACAGGTTTTGATGTTTGGTGTATCTGCTCTGCAGTCTTTCAAAGGACAGGTATCAGCTTACCGATATGGTCAGATTTTTGTACCTGACATTAATCTAACAGCTTACCGCAAGCCTTACAGTTTTTCATGACCCATTCCTGGTTTTCACGGAAGATATGTGTATCAAGAGGGGTCAGTCCAACATGTGATACTCCCTTAAACATTTCGTCATCATCACACAGATGATTTACAAGTCTTCGTTTCCTTTACTGATATGCCGATAAAGTCAAAGATCAAAGTCTGAATGGACCCTATTTACACGAAACACTTGACAAGAGTGGTGTCGGTGTGTGTCTTACAATGACTTTAAGCGGAAACTATCTGATTTGTGCTGAATCAAAATACAACTCGCTTCTGTTTACATTTATATCCTCGGGGTGATTATTTTTGGTTGTCTAACCCTCGGCAAAGAGATTCTATTAGTCACCGAGGATACTCTACACCCCATACAATTGACTTTATGCAAGGATAGAGAAGAAACTGTATTCTCTTATGGTTTTTCTTTGTACTAGAATGTATTACACAGAAACACACATTCACACATAAATGAAGGCAGCAGTTCTGTTGTTTTGTTTTGTAACATACTTTTTCTGGTCGACCTAGAACAAACAAAAATATTCCCATTGACACTAATTGGCACCGTATGGCCCAGTTTTCATTTTCTACCTATTTCGTTAACTTATTGTTTCTAGAAAATTCAGTTTAAGTGGTAAAATGTTCAACATTTATTGAAAAGCATTCATGTTTCGTGTGACACTGACAGTTTTCAACAGCCCAGTAGTTTTCAATGACCATAGCTTTAATGTGGGTTGATTTTAAGCTTGACTTTAAGCGGAAACTATCTGATTTGTGCTGAATCAAAATACAACTCGCTTTTGTTTACATTTATATCCTCGGGGTGATTATTTTTGGTTGTCTAACCCTCGGCAAAGAGATTCTATTAGTCACCGAGGATACTCTACACCCCATACAATTGACTTTATGCAAGGATAGAGAAGAAACTGTATTCTCTTATGGTTTTTCTTTGTACTAGAATGTATTACACAGAAACACACATTCACACATAAATGTAGGCAGCAGTTCTGTTGTTTTGTTTTGTAACATACTTTTTCTGGTCGACCTAGAACACATTCAACGAGATTTGTAAATTTTTACATGAATTTGTAAAACAAAAACAAAAGGAGGAACAACATTACTAACTTATCACACTTTATCACCGTTCATAAAAAATACAGCACGTTTCGATTAACATATTAGTATAACATTCTCAATTTGCCTTGAGCATACCCAACCTTTTACAAACAGCTGAATGACAAAACTAGTATTGTCTCGCCACTCATACAACTGTTAACGCCTACGAGCATGAGAACAGAGCAGTTACATAAATAGAGTGTGTTTGAAAATCCAGTTTTGGGTACCATAACTTGTACATTTCGTTACGTCTTGAAATTCATAAAGATATTGGTTGTTTTACTTATTAGTAAACTCTCTTCTACCTCCTACCACGTGAAGCTATCCAACATGATGCACATTTTTGAAGAACATCTTAATAATTCCTATACATGAAAAGGATGATCACATATTGCCACACTTAATCTAACGATTTTGATGAACATATGATGTTCTTGTCGTATGAACAGTTTTATGTTCTTTTATGTATTTGCTAAATATGGAGGTCTGATTCCTTTTATTTCATATCATAATTTAGCTTTTTTCAAGCAACTACAGCTTTACGAGGATCCGTTCACTACGGAGTAAACAAAATGATCCGGTCTGTACGGAGTACATGACCTGTCGGTACGGAGCAAAACAACTATGCTACTTATGGTATTCGCGACAACTGGTAAACCCGTTGTCAGCATTGTGTGACCAGCTGTAATACTACGCTGGGTACCTTCAGATCTCCTCTATAAGGAGGCAAATATGTAACAACACGCGCGCATCCCCGAAGTCGTCGCACGCATGAATATCAGAGAAAGTTTTTCTCCTGCCCACACAACTCCAACAACTCAGGTGGAGTATAAATGGTCTGCGGTGGATGTTGCGGTATTTGTGCTGTAGCATTCAAATGAGGTGGCACTTTAAAAGATGCCGTTGGAAGCACGGTCCCACTACAAATCAGAACACAATACATCTCCAGCACACACGCAGGCATTCACACATAGGGAGATATTAGCCAGGTGGGATAGGACTAGTAGTTATCGCCTGATAAGGCAGCTCTTGCGAATTCCTCAAAATTGTATTGATTAATGGATATGCTAATTGTATTAATTGTATATCTATGTACTGTAAAGCGCTTAAGAGTTGGTTATGTTAGCTAGATAGGGGGCTTTATCAAAAAGAAAAAATGGAGGGTGATCGGAATAAAACATTTGCATGGAGGGTACAGGACAGGAACACAAGTATACTTCCTCCTTTTCTTCAAATGCAGAGAGCCAAACAAACCCCATACAGAACATAGTATTATAAGTGAACTGGGCAAACATTATACATGTACAGCTACATCTACACACCTATATACAAACATACATACATACTTACGTCCGTACAGACAGACAGACAGACAGACAGACATATGCATCATTATGCTTGTATATTCGAGGATTTTAAAAAACATATCTTGACTCTACTTCTGTGAAAACCAGTCTTACCGACACCTCAATTCTATGTAAAATACTAACATCTTTCGTCTAAATATGTAAGGCCTTAACATCTTGACAGTGAATTGATATCTGTGCGTTGTAACATTATTATACACAACTTGAAACAGCATAACGCGAAACCCCAAAAAGATATGGATATTTGTGAATGGCTAACAACCGGACAGTTTTGTCGTTGATTGACTCATGTGGTACACTAATGTACTTGACCAAAGGTCGCCATCGAAACAGGAAGTATTTGGTATGTGATTAAAACAAACCAGATTTTTCTAGAAGCCTCAGTTAATAGACGTACAGAGAAGGGTTGAGACACGTTCTTAACTTTCAAACTTAGGCCCATGGACTCCCTATGGTTAACATATTAACGCTTGGTCATAGCAACCTGAAGCCAATGATTATACATAGCTTAATGTTGAATGCAGGTAAGCAATTATATCCTAACAAAGGCTTATTATTTCTGAATATGTAGTCAAACATTATAATAATCTTTTCCCCTTTACAATGTACCTTTTATCAGATCTATATGATTCGCTTATACACTAGTGACATTACTACACTTGAATATGTATACCAGTGTCTGACAAACACTATCATACAGACTAGACAATTCATGCAGTTTGTTCAGCTGCTAAAAAAGGTTGATGCAACAACATTCTTCCTCTTTATATGCTTAAGTTTCTTAATTTCAGATTGAATCCTGAAGATAACCATGCTTGATTCCACGGACAGCGAGCAGATGTCTGTGCTTCTGTCCAAATACCTGGACCACGACTACACAGGAACACAGGAAGACGCATACATCAGGAAGAAGGCACATACTTTATTGGAGCATTTAAACAATCATCCAATGATTTCTATCTGTTTTGCTGGAAGCATGGCAGAGGGAATTCAGGTGCCTGGTTCAGACAGTGACGAAATGTTGATCGATGAACATGTTACAGTAATGTACCCTGATCAGTGTATTCCTCCAGACACGGTATATAAAACAATCCTGCTCATAAGAAAGGCGGACTGCCGTCCTGGTTATGTCCACTTACAGCTAGAACAGATAGGACAGAAATGTCAGGAGCCATTAATTTTGTCACTTGTTAAAATTAAGGATTCACTGTTTGTTTCCGGTGATATCTTCAGGGAGCAATGGGTCAGTGCTGCGATTGAATTGTCAGGTGTGAAATTTGAATCCAATGGGCCTAGCTGTACAACAAAATATCCATCAGGTGACTAAGACAGTGTTCTATGTTTTCCATGTAAAACCTGGCCAAATGAGGCTAACGAATGGATTACTCGTACTCGCCTGTACGGATGGCCACACCAAGGCCTGATCAACACAATTGTACACAACGGATGCCATCTTGTCCCAGTCGGGGACAAATGTTCAGGGAACACTTTATTACAATGGAGAATATCCTTTGCAAAAGCAGAGATATCTTTAGTTCACTCATTCAGTCACATTCAGCTCAAAGTATATTGTTTACTGAAATTATTTTTGAAACAAATAAAAGAACAATTAAGAGAAACCATTGGGGATGATGATATTTTGTGCTCCTACTTTTTGAAAACAACCCTTTTTCATGCAATAGAGAATTCCAACCAACTGTTCTGGCAAGAAAAAAACTTGTTTTATTGTTTCTGGTTTTGCTTCAACATACTGATTGCTTGGGTCAGAGCAGGAGTCTGTCCCCATTACTTCATTGAGGCCAACAACTTGTTTGAAAGGAAAGTCCATGGACAACATCAGCGAATACTGTTAGATGTTTTGAACAACTACTGTCAGATGAAATGGAAGTGTCTTTCAGTGGGAAACTTCATCAAACCCTCGATATGGGAACATCTGTGTAATACCTCAGAACAAGCTTTTCTCATGCGTCCCAAAACTGTACAGGAAAATGTATTCAGACAGGATGCTTTAGTTGCTTCCCTTCTACAAACAAATGGACCTACCATGGAAAACAGTTTAAGGCAGGCAATTCATTCATTATCGACATCACACACAGAACTGGATGACATTTTCACACACAACTTTGCCATGAAATGCCTTCGAAGACTTGCAACAGAAAAGGCTTATCCCGATCAAATGGTTGCTAGAGACAACAAGACAAGGTACAAGAGTTTAAAAAAATGTAAACGCTGGATGAGTCCGAGTGCCTCAATGGGCACTGACCTGCTGTATTTGGCAACTTTTCATTTTCTGACGGGAAATTTCTTCAAAACCCTGGATATGTTACAATAAATATCAAAGGCTATATCCAGAACTAAACAAAATACACCGATTTGAACGTACATCAAACAGACTGCAGAAAATGTATGCAAACGAGGTAATGTTTCAACATACAGACATTTACCTTCCTCATTTCTATCTAGATAAAAATATTGCGTTTTTATTCCACCACTACCCTATGCTTTGTTCCTTTCCTTCATGTGCTGTCATAAGCTTGGGGACACTAGTCGACGTGATGAAGCATTATGGCACCTGATAGAGGTCCAAAGTGACGACGTCCAAGGGAGACACAAATACTGGATAGTTTCTACTCTACTGGGGATTTGTTACCAAACAATCGGGGACAATCACATGGCTATCGAGGCTTACTGGGAATCAACAAAGAGCAAGGCTAAATTTCATGCGATGAATCCTGCCAGAGAGAGGATAGCGGTGGTGTATCTTTGCATGTATGCCTCACTGAGGTCTGATAGAGGAGAGTAGTGGTGTATATATGTATGTATGCCTCACAGAGGTCTGACAGAGGATAGCAGTGGTGTATATATGTATGTATGCCTCACTGAGGTCTGACAGTGGATAGCTGTGGTTTATATATGAATGTATGCCTCACTGAGGTCTAACAGAGGATAGCTGTGGTGTATATATGTATGTATGTCTTACAAACGTCTTACATAGGATAGCTGTGGTGTATATATGTATGTATGTCTTACAAACGTCTGACAGAGGATAGCTGTGGTGTATCTATGTATGTATGTCTTACAAACGTCGGACAGAGGATAGCTGTGGTGTATATATGTATGTATGTATTACAAACGTCTGACAGAGGATCGATGTGGTGTATATATGTATGTATGTCTTAAAAACGTCTGACAGAGGATAGCTGTGGTGTATATATGTATGCATGTCTTACAAACGTCTGACAGAGGATAGCTGTGGTGTATATATGTATGTATGTCTTACAAACGTCTGAGAGAGGATAGCTGTTATATATATATGTATGTATGTCTTACAAACGTCTGACAGAGGATAGCTGTGGTGTATATATGTATGTATGTCTCACTGAGGTATGACAGAGGATAACTGTGGTATATATATGTATGTATGCCTCACTGAGGTATGACAGAGGACAGCTGTGGTTTATATATGTATATATACCCCACAATCTGTATCAGCAATACATAGGGATAAGGTTGTACTTGGCTTTGTTGTTATTGAGAAGAATAAATGAGAACAAAATGATGGACGACTGCCTCACGGCGACGGATTGCAACGAAGGGTCGATTGAGCTATATTGCCGATGAACTAATAGCCAATCATATTGCACCAACCTCCTTAAGTAATTTTGTTTTGTTAGTGTGTCACACTTAAGCTATGATATCATCCAGGAAGTTTTAATCAATCAGATTTCCAAAATAAATATTAAAAATGGATGTGTAGAAAACCTATAACTTGAGTGTATAAAATTTGAGTGGGAACACAATGACCTGCGACTGGCTCGTTTCAACGGAAATGCACCCCTTGAATGTGTCATAACAAAATCGAAGGTGTCGTATATCTTTAATGAAGATCAGAGGAATCACACGGCAGCTTAGCGATACAATCGACAGGGTTTGAAGTTGGGTTTAGCTTTCTGTAACCTCAAAGGACTGGTATCAACCCAATCTCCACCCAGAGTTATCGTTTCTTACACTCTCTTACATACAAGTGAGTGCAAGGAACGACAGCTCTGGTTAGAGATTGGTATCAACCGAGCGATTGGTCAGTTTGTTGTTGCTTTTTTACCCGAAACGAAATATAACTTACGCGAACTTAGATTTTGTCTGACTGTGACTACCTTTGCCTTTCACTAACCTTCCAAGACTTCTCAAGATGCTTTGTCGGTGCTGAGTAAGACGCTCGGAGATGTAGATTTTGTGTCGATCGTTCTTCATCGCTGATCTAGCTTTGAACACTATCAGACATGCACCCCACTGGTTCCTGTGGGTGTCGGTGGGTTGGGAGGGAGACATTAGGTTTTCACTCCGTTCGTCCTTACGTCCGAATTACGTCCGTCTAAAAAGTATGTCTGTGGAACAGACTGGAATACCAAGATTTGGTATGCAAGTGCATTTTGGGATGGCTGGATATCAAGTAAAAACAAATAGGTAACTGTGAACTATGGTTTGAACTTGACCTCAACCTGTGAAAAAAGTTTGTCAATGGCAATTGGTCTTACTATTTCACCTAAAATAACCAGATTTTTCATCAAATACACCTTGTCTATACTATTTCACCTGGAGTAACCCGATTCGATTTGCACGTACATTCTGGGATGGTTGAATGTCAAGTACAAAAAGAAGCTCACTATCCCGAGATGCACAGTTCGGTAAGTCAGGTAATCATTACCGGTGGGGGACTATATATTGCCTTGCAATAACTTTCCTTGGTTTATAAAAGAAACTCTCACAAATCATTTCAAATCACAAGCAATCTGAAATGGCGCTCACTTTGAGCATGATTGACTACACTATCATGTGCCAAAGATGTCATCAACAAATGAAACACACATATTCTACTAAAGGAGGCCGCAATCCAAGCATCAAAAACTAAACGAGAGACCCTATTTCGCTTACATGTAGGTGTGAAGCGATTGCGAGTGCAAGAAAATAGTGGAAGTCTGTATAATTTTATTGGTTTATTAAATAGCATTGATGTAATGGGTCTGGAAATTTACCCAAAATAATGCAGCCCACATTTTGTATATCATGTTTTTTTCAGTTGAAAATGTTTAATTATTTCATAAAACACATATTGGAGACTAGCAGGATTGAGGAGTTCATTTTATATGAGTATAACTGTGTGAAACATATTCTAATAAATGGCATCGTATTTTTTGGACATGTATGTACATGGAGATATTATTGAAAAAGAAAAATTCAACAACCTGAAAGCCGTTATTAATATATAATTTTGATATCAAACAATACGTAAGAGTGAATAATAATATTTGTAAGATATTTTAAACAGGTGGTGTTATAAACAAGATGTAATCACTTAATATTGAAGATTGCCAAATGTCCTAGTAAATTATTATTATTATTATTATTATTATTATTTATTAAAACATTTTGAAAATTCAAAATTTGAAATAAAATCATAGCAGATTTAAAATATGATCAATATATAGTTTACTGATTAATATAAAATTTGATTTAATATTTGCAATATAGATTTTAAATATTTTAATTTCTTTAAGAATATCTTAATATTTTTTGATATATAAAAATGTCCCTGTTTTTATTGTTATTTGAAAAATCTTATTAAAGTTGTAATTTTTACAAAAGGCTCACAGGACATGTATCGCTCACCTGGATATTTAAGCAACCATTGGAAAATATTGTCAAGATAAGTTATTTTGTAAATATTTCCATACATTACTTAGTCTCCATGTCTGTTTATTTATTTATTTTTCATTTATTTATTTCCAATTAAACAGACCCAAGGGTCAACTTACAGAATGGATAACAGCATTATAACACAAGTATAAAATATCACAGTCAGTTATGCATGTAACACAGACTAAAAGATACTCATATGTAAAACAAAAGGAATTAGTGATAGCAAATATTCTTTAACCGTACTTTGAATTGTGCGAGAGAGGAACAAAACATCACATCACAGTCTGGTGCAAAATCAAGATAGTTAAAATTACATTGAATCCTGTTTAAAACACTGTACTTTCTAACGTGTATTCGACTTCTCTGGCAGTAAAACTGATTTAAACGAATTAATCGTAGATTACGACCAGGGACTAAAAAACGCATATGCTTGACTAAATATGGGCAATCAAAAGCACTATTAACACAGTTCGAGACTAGGAAGCTTAATGTGTCAGCGTAAGACATGAAATTGTAGTCAACGTGTGCCTTAAAACATAAAAAAAAAAAAAAAATTGTCCTGGACAACTTCAAGATACAAGATACAAGAAACTTTATTTAACGTCGCATACAGGTAAACAAGGAACATTAGCTCTTGAGAGCTATTATTGCGACAAACACATGTAAAAATAACAATAACATATTATATTACAAGTAAAGGGAGATAATCACATATATTAATTTAAAAAAAACCCAGTAATAATCATCACAGAAAAAGAAAGTATACATATCTCAGGTTTCTAAGTGATTGGGAGTCCCCTACCTACAAAGGCCCCCGGGATATATATATATAAATGGTGTATATATATGAAAAGCATTAAATGTGATCACAGATAAGTAGTAAATAGGTAAATAAAATACATAGTTAATAGTGAATGAATACTTGTATATCACACAAAAATTACTTAGGACTCAGGATTAAAACACTATGAAGTGGAATATACATAAAATGCTAATATAGCAATTAAAATAAGCAGTGACAGAATATACACTTTTATAATGTGAATTAAAAATGATACCGAAATCAATTAACAAAATTTATCAAGTTTTGTAAAAATTTATATTTTAGAAAATATGGAATTAAAATACAAATAAGATGCAGCAAAAATATAGAATAGAATAGGTATATATCATATATATATCCTAGACCAAATAGCATTTCGACCTGGTGAATTAAAGATGTTTGGTAAGGAGACCAGATCTGACAACAGTATTCTACCTGACTCCTGACAAGACTTATATATAAAGACCTTAAAACTTTGTGTACAACTTTTACATGAACGTTTTATAAAACCGAGCATTTGCATTGATTTGGAAACAGTACGTCTATTAATTGTGGGTACTTACTCATTGAAGGGGTCAGCCAAACACCAGGAGCTTTCACACACATTTTATCCTTCAGGTTCTCATCGTTCATAGTGTAACTGATACATTTATTCTTGTTTGTAAAAACGACCTGACAGCTCTTCTCCACATTCGCTTTCATTTTCCACACAGTGCACCAATCATACACTCTATCTATATCGCTCGGTAGCTGCTCGCACTCAGACAGCGTTCTTACACACTAAAAAATTTACTGTCGTCGGCAAACATAAGAGTTTTGGAAAACTTTACAATAGATGGCAGTTCATTGATAAAAACAAGGAAAAGTTTAGGTCCAAGTATCGAACCTTGAGGCACACCGGAAGTTACATCAACCAACCGGATGTAGCCCCATTGACAGTTAAGTAATTAACCAATGTGAAGATGTCACTCTAAGTATTGTCCAATGTAAACGGTACATTCTATTCTCTGCGTAGATTTTCAGTTTCAAGTTTAGATTAAAATGACGGCAGAATAAGTGGTTGTGTTGTATACCTTTGCAGCATACATTTTTGTTTTCACAAAACTACACAATAAGTATAATTATTGTCTGGAAGTCTTACCAGATAATAGCAGCAAACGGCACAATTGCAGTGAAAACCCATTCAAATTGGCGCTCTGCATTGTTGTCAAGCGTGAGGTCATTAGAAATTGGCGTAAAATATTTAAGCAACATTTAAGCCCAAAGTGAGGAGTTGCCAAGCGAGACGATAGGAAATAAAAGGTAGTTAGAAGTAGAAAGAAAGATAAAGATCCCAAATATTGCTGTTTGTTTGTTTGCCTGTTTATGTTTAACGGCCCATCGACGGCTG